AGGAGGAGGAGGAGGGGGAGGGGGAGGAGGAGGAGGAGGAGGAGGAGGAGGAGGAGGAGGAGGAGGAGGAGGAGGAGGAGGAGGAGAGGAGGAGGAGGGAGGAGAAGGAGGAGGGAGGAGGAGGAGGAGGAGGAGGAGGAGGAGGAGGGAGGAGGAGGAGGAGGAGGAGGAGGAGGAGGAGGAGGAGGAGGAGGAGGAGGAGGAGGAGGAGGAGGAGGAGGAGGAGGAGGAGGGAGGAGGAGGAGGAGGAAGGAGGAGGAGGAGGAGGCGGAGGAGGAGGAGGAGGAGAGGAGGAGGAGGAGGAGGAGGAGAGGAGGAGAGGAGAAGGAAGAGGAGGAGGAGGAGGCGGAGGAGGAGGAGGAGGAGGAGGAGGAGGAGGAGGAGGAGGAGGAGGAGCAGGAGGGGGAGAAGGAGGAGAAGGAGGAGGAGGAGGAGGAAGGGGAGGAGGAATGGGAGGAGGAAGGGGAGGAGGAGGCAAAACAGGCCGCAGCCGACGCGGCCTGGGCGAAGCGCAGGGCCACTGTCAGAAAATACCAGAGGCTCCGCGAAGAAGACCCGGGACAGGCGCAGCAGTTCTCATCGAAATGGCTCAAAACAGGCAGCATGTTCTACGTTGCGCTGGAGGACAAACAAAAAACAGGGGCGCTCTTACCTAGAGGGCGCATGGTGGATGAGCTAGTGGAGGATCTCTTCGCTCGCGCACGCAACGGCTTCCCCCAGGGCCAAAGCTCTGCTTCGGACCTCAACAGGCAATCATCTGCAAGACGCTCAAGCGGCGCCGCCCCGGGGTGCCTGGAGATCGCCAGTAGGTTCTCCCCCCAGCCACCGCCGGACGACGGCCCGTTTAGCAGTACAGAGGTTGCAGCTGCCATTGCGAAGCTGCGCCCAGGTAGCTGCGCGCTTGGCTGCGCCACAGCATCCTTGCGAGCACGGTCGTTGGCCTGCTGGAGGCTCACGGTCGTCCTTGCTAATTGCTCGCGACATGTAGGCCTGACATCATCGATGTGATCCACCGCGTGTTTGAGGCCGATCAGCATCGCTTCTGACTTCGCGCAACGTATGTACGCCCTGTGGGTGGGACGGCATTTCCGCAACGTAGAACAATTCTGCGGGGAAGCCCAGGTCGGGGGAGTATCGGACCCTATCTCGCTCGTCCTGGCCCTCGTGCTCTTGTGTGAACTCCGACAGTAGGCGGGTGTATCTGCATACGTGGCGTTCTTAGACTTGACATGGGGCTCCGACGCTGCAAGCCACAGCAGCGGCATGCTTGCGAACCCTCTCCTGGCAGGCCTCCACGGCAGGGGCTGGCTCTGGGTAGACGACGCGGCACGCGAGGACAACCAGGGTGCTCGAGCTGCACGGCCTCCTCTTCGCTACCCTTCGCACCAGCCGGTGGGGTTGCCCAGGGACGGCGGCTCTCGGCGCCTCCGCTCACCTCGCTGCGGCGCAGCCTCCAAGAAATCCCTGGTGCAGCCCGCCCCCGGGGGGGGCGGGCCTGCGCCGCCCTGCCTCCTGGGGCGCGCGAGGCGCTGCTGCGATCGCAGGCGATCGAGCCACCGGTGTCTCCAGACGGCTTGCCCTCGGGGGAGGATCGCCTTCGCGCTCTCGCCGGGGTGGTCAGTGAGATCGCCAGCCAGGCGGAGGCGCTGGGCGAACAGCCGCCTGAGCATGCCGCCGCCGCTTTGGCAACCCTCCCCTGCTTGGCCGACCGTCTCGCCACTGTCGAGATGATCGGTAGTGCTCCGCTTGCTCCGTCCCAATGCATCGATGATGCATTCGCCGCGTGTTCATCAGTAGGGGCGCTTCACGCAATTCTGGACCAGTCCGTTCCTTCGGCGACAGCGCAATACGCTCGGTATGCCAAGACGGCCTTTAATTTCGGTTCGGACAAAACGTCTGGAATGGTTATTGGCCAGAGCCCCACACTCGATTCAACACACATGGGTTTCAGTGCGCCCCGATGCCCCCCCTTGGGTCCACGAGCGCAGTACTCACTGCCCTCTTTGGGTCTGAGTGCGGGCCTGACCATGTGCTGTACGTGGCGCGGGCAATACTACAACGTGGCCCAAGGCGGGGAGAAGAGGGCCGGGTTGGCGCGGCGGCGAAGTGAGTGCCCAGCAGGACTGGCGGGCGGAAGACCCCGTTGGCTCCCTCCTGGGTGCGACCTTCCTGCCCCGCGTGCGGCGACGCGGCGGCGCGGCGATGCGTCGGGTGGGGAGCGCACTGGTGGGAAGCGAGAAGCGAGAAGCGAGGAGGAGGAGGAGGAGGAGGAGGAGGAGGAGGGGAGGAGGAGGAGGAGGAGGAGGAGGAGGAGGAGGAGGAGGAGGAGGAGGAGGAGGAGGAGGAGGAGGAGGAGGAGGAGGAGGAGGAGGAGGAGGAGGAGGAGGAGGAGGGGGAGGGCACTCACCGCGGCAAGACTGCACCGCGTCTCGCCATGCCCACCCCTGGGCCCCCAGTCGGTGCTGACGCTTCTGTGGCAGCTCGCAGGAGGCCCTCGCACCATCTTGCTGGGCGCTGGCCGACGCGAATCGATGCCAGTCGACGCCAAACCGACGCCAGTCGAAGCTAGGTCGACGCTAGTCGACGCTAGATTCGGCGGTGGACAAACCTCCCTTTAGTAAACCTCCCCTTAGTGAAAACGGCCTGGGACCGAAACCGACGGACCTGGACCCGCAAAAATGACGGCCGCGACGCCCTCTCGCGAACCGAGAACGGCCAATTCCTTAATCGACGTGTCAGGGCAGGAGGTCTGTCCACCTCCAATAGATCGGCCCTGTCTCATCGATTACCGGACGCGCATCGACGCGAGTGTACTCGAAAGACGGGATTGCGAAGGGGTATACACGGGTTTCCCGCGGTTTGCTACTGATGTACGCCCTCCTGCCTTGGTCAGGAAGGCATTCACACCGATCCTGGGCCCAGGATCGGCTTGGCCAGGATCGGTGTAGATGTATAGTTTGTCACGCAGCCTCGTCTATCAAGAGGGTGTAGTGACAAAAATGATACCCGGAAATCTGCCCGAGTGTGGCCAAAACCGACGCCCGAATTTTCGAGAAAGTGACGAAGGGTGACCGAAATCTTGGCTCGAAACCAAGACGCCCCTTTCAACTTCGGTCATTATGTCGGTCACACGACGTTTTCGGTCACGACTTCGGGCACGTTGCCGATCACCGATCCTTGTTCGGCCACCTACCTCCTCGGCCGAAAAGGGCTTCTTTCCCTTGTCTCCCCGGGAAAAGGGAGGTCCAGTTCATTGCGGCACAATCAGTCTACCGACCGCGGGAGGCACCCTGCAACTATCTCAGCCTCAGCCAGCACAGAGAAAGGATCCGCACTGCCACTGCAGACTGCCCCTGCACACGACAGCGCTGAGCAAGCCTGATGCCCACGGCTCCTCTCGAAGCGCGCCGCCGAGGATGTGTGCATTCGTGTCTGTATCCCTTCGTGTCTGTATTCGAGGTCGGTCGAAAGGGGCCGGATGCCAGGAAATTTGCGCCCTGCGAGCTCGCGCTCGTGGCTGCGGCGCAGGCCCCGCCGCGCCCAGCGCTCCACCTCTGCCCGCGCCCCCCCCACCCCGCCGTGGGCCACTGCTGTCGAGGTGGCTTCGCGGGGAAAGGGCGCGGTGGAGGAGCAGGAGGAGGAGGAGGAGGAGCAGGAGGAGGAGCAGGAGGAGGAGCAGGAGGAGGAGGAGGAGGAGCAGGAGGAGGATGAGCAGGAGGAGGAGGAGCAGGAGGAGGAGGAGGAGGAGGAGGAGGGGGAGGAGAAGGAGCAGGAGGAGCAGCAGGAGGAGGAGGAGGAGCAGGAGGAGCAGGAGGAGCAGGAGGAGGGATCTGGGGGATCTGATGAAACGCCTTGGTCTGCAAGGCCCGCTACCTAGGCAGACGCCTCTCGGGCCTGCGCCGAGACGCTGTGCTGAGCCGATGCCCAGCGAGCAAACGAGGGGAATCCAGCGAGGCGACGAGGAAGCCAGAAACCCAGGGAGGACCCAACGGTCCACAAAAAAAATCGAGGAGTATCCAGCGGCGGCGACGATGCCCCAGGCCAAGCCCCAATGGGCGCAAGCCACCTCCGAGCCCAGGATCAGACCTCGAGCTTGAAGACGGCTTGCCCTGCTGCGAACAGCTCTAGATACTCCTCCTGGTGTTGGCCATCCCTTCATGAAGACTACCCTCACGATGACGACCATTTCCACCAGCACGGCCTTGCCGAAGAGCCCTCGCTTCCCGGCCTTGATCGCATACTTCTGGCGGGTCTTGATCATATCCATGACAACGACCTTGCCGAAGAGCCAACACTTCTCGGCATTGGTCGCGTTCTTGCACAGGAGAGGGCACCGAGCCTTGATCATCACAACGCAGGATGACGAACTTCGCACCACCAAGGTTGCAATGCTCGCGAGAGTGCTCAAAGCCGATCATCCCCACCTTCCTGGACGCCCGCCATGGCCCGCCGCGGCAACGCCGCTTCGAAGAGCGCCGCGGCACGCACGCGATGTGCCGAAACGGCTAGGCCTTGAGCCAAAATGGCTACGGAGGAGCAGGGGCAGGAGGAGGAGGAGCAGGAGGAGGAGGAGGAGGAGGAGCAGGAGCAGGAGGAGCAGCAGGAGGAGGAGAAGGACGATGATGAGGAGGAGGAGGATGTTCAGGAGCAGGAGGAAGAGGAGGAGGAGGAGGAGGAGGAGGAGGAGAAGGAGCAGGAGGAGCAGCAGGAGGAGGAGGAGGAGGAGGAGGAGCAGGAGGAGCAGGAGGAGCAGGAGAGGAGGAGCAGGAGGAGGAGGAGGAGGGGAGGAGGAGAAGGAGCAGGAGCAGGAGGAGCAGCAGGAGGAGGAGAAGGAGGAGGAGGAGGAGCAGGAGGAGGAGGAGCAGGAGGAGCAGGAGGAGGAGCAGGAGGAGCAGGAGGAGCAGGAGCAGGAGGAGCAGCAGGAGGAGGAGGAGGAGGAGCAGGAGGAGCAGGAGGAGCAGGAGCAGGAGGAGCAGGAGCGAGGGGCGGCGGCGGCGGTCCTTCCGGAGGCACTCCATCACCGCCTTGCCCGCCTCCGTGGTCGGGGCCACCTCCTGGGCCAGCGCGCGCCGGCCGCCGGTCGCCCACGCCGCTCTGGGCGGCGCGCCCGCGGCCGCCGCCGCCGCAGCGCACGGCGGGCGGCGGTCGGCGCGCGCGGCGAGAGAAAGGCGGAGGGCAGACCCGCAGCCCCAGAGCCCTGACCCAGAGATCGCATCGACAAAAATCACGACGGAGGTTTTTCGCGAGTTTCGGCCTCTAGGGTCCCCTGCGGGGCCTCGGGGCCTCTAGGGTCCCCTACGGGGCCACGGGGCCGTCAAAGAACGACTCAGGGTGAAAAGCCGGTGCTGGGGCATGGGTCGAAACTTCCGGGGACCCCGTACGGAAAAAATCACGACCTCGGGTCTGTGGGGAGATCGCGGCGCTGCACTTTTTTCGCTCGGCTTCGGGCCCCGGGACCATCACGGATCCATCCGGCTCGAGTAATGCCGTAATAGGATGGGGCCCCCAGGACTCTGGTCGTGGTTTTTCGCGGTGCTGCCAAGTCTTCGCAGCGTCGGATCTCCCAGTGGGCCGTGGAGAGGTATGAGGGCTTCGAGCGCCCCGAGGCAACGGCAACAACGATCAACGATAACAACGATAACGAGAACGGTCGCAACGACAACGATCACAACGACAACGATCACAGCGATAACGACGACGAGAACGATCAACGACAACGATCGTTGTGATCGCTGTCCCAACAGCGGGCCAGCTGTGGTGGCGAGACTTCGGGCCCCGAACACCCATGCCCAGGGCCCCCCCCCGGGGTGGAACCCCATCGGGTGCCCCGGGGCCGAGGAAGGGGCGAAGGGAGAGGAAGGAGGAGAATTCGAGGAGAGACCATGGTCGGCGGCGAGCGAGGGGGTGGGATGAGAAGGAGAAGGCCTTCTCAGAAGGCTCGGAAGTCCCCCTGCCTTCTGAGAAATCCTCTGCGCCCTCCCCGAAGACACGGGAAACTTCTCAGAAGGCGCTGGGGTTCTGAGAAGTCCCGCCGCCTTCTGAGAAGGCCTTTTTCTTCTCATTTCCCCCCCCCTCGCTCGCCGCCGACATGGGGACCCAGCTGAATTTTTTCAACCAAGAGGACGCCGATCCACTCAGCAGCCCAATGGCAAACTCACCGTGCCCGAGAGGTGGACCCCGAGGTCTGGCCAGAACAACACAGCGGACAACAAATCGTGTCGGCAACGCTCGATACTGTGTGAAACGTCTTTTCCGCGCAGCGACTGGCCAGAAAATGCTGTATGCCCGAAGTGATTCACACCCCGTCTGCCAAGGTAATCTGGTAAATGCGTTTTTTCTTCAACAGAAGCATCCCGCTCCCGAGCGTGAGTGGCAGCCGAAAAATGAATTCAATCCGCGCACGTTGTGGATGCCCCCACAACTCGACGCGCAAGCGAGAGAGCACCAGATTCAGCGGTCCGGCCAACCAGAATGCCCTGGCCAACTAAATGAGCAACTGTCGTGGACGATACGCCGCACGAGCTGCAACAAATGGGGGAGAAGTGAGAAGGAGGCGGAGAAGGCAAAAGGAAGAGGAGGAGGAGGAGGAGGAGGAGGAGGGAAGGGGGGAAACGATCAAATGAGCCTGCAGACAGCCTCGATGCCGAAGCAGACGGAGCAAGGGCGCTTGAAACCAGCGTACGATACAACAGGCGATGCCACATCGATTGAGTAGTGTGGTATGCTGCACGCGCCCGTCGTCACCCACAATGGGGCCACAGGCCGACGGGTGGCGGAGGCCCAGCAGGCGAGCCTGGCGGGAGACTGGCGCCACAGGCCGCACCGCTGTCGGCCGACAGCAGGGCGGCGCCTAGAGCCGGCTGGCCTCAGACCAACCCCAAGCATTTACACTATCAAAAAACAAAACTCATGCTTACCAGCTACTGCATTCACCTTCCTGGACGGAGAATCGAAAATGACGAGAAACAGCATCAAAAGAAACTACACACTCTCCCGGACTGCCCCAAGGCTGGGATACACATGGGGACCCAGCGGAATTGGATACACTTACCACCAGCCCTTGTGCACAAAATGCGCTAGAACCCCTCAGGCAAATCATAGCTTCGGAAGATTGATCTCGCTGATGGGGAGCTGGATTATTCAAATTCGTAGTCATGGGGGGCCATGGATGGGTACGCACATCCCCTGAAGACGACAGATCGCTTGAACCCAACGTTGGAACGCGCCTGCCTGAAGCTCAGGCTGCTGGAAGCCCTCTTCGAGCGCACGATTCTAGTGATAGAAACTCGCAGACTGGCCACTGGCTACCATGCGTGAAAGTGCTGGGCAGAGCTTCGCATACCTGCCACACGCTGGCTGCAGGACACTTCCTGAGTGGTCCTACATGTGCTGCAGCGCTGAAGGAAACGCTTGATGCAACTTGTGTACGATGAGCTTACCGCTAACGCATCAGTTGCATACTTACTTGCTATCCGAATGCGTTGCCTTACAGGAATGACCACATTCTCGTCTGTTTTTGTGGACGGTTCGCCAGATGATCGCTGTTCCGTCAAATTGTTCTTGTGGCCGCCACCCAAGCTGATTCCTGTTCGCGGTCACCATGCCTAGTCCTGACTGCCAGCTCCTACAGCCAATTCCTATCGTTTGCTTGCTCATGTGCTTGCTTGGATGACTGGTTCCCATGGCGGGCTCCTGTGGCCAGTCCCTCTGGCTGCTTCCGACGGCCTGCTCGCTCGCCTGCATGCGCGCATGTGTATGACTGGTTGCTTACATGCCTGCATGTATGTCTGCGTGCTTGCTTGATGTTATGCATGCTTACATGCCTGCATGCTTGCATGCGTGCTTGACGGCTTGCTTGCTCCGACGCGTGCCGTATGCATCCTGACTGGTTTGCCTCAAGTCGGCATGACTTGGTACTAGCATGTCTGCGTGCTTGCTTCATTGTTCATGTGCTTGCTTGCCTGGGTGACTACTTGCAAAACTGCAAACTTCATTGGCTGCTTGACTTTCACAGCTAATGTTTGTTCGCCTACCTCATGACCGCGTGCTTGCAAGCTTGCATGATTGCATGGTCGCTCGTATGCTTCACCGGTTGCTTGCGCGATTGCGTTCTTGCATGCTCGTGCGCTTGCAACCATACTTGGGGTCCGCGCCAACGGAAGCCGCCTCAATCGGCACCGACTTGGCTACTCAATCGTTGCCAATTGCACAGAGCGCGTTTCTTTATTTTCGGCGATGATGGGCATTACAGGGGGGGGAGGGGCCAGGGGGGGATATGATGTAACGCCTCCTCCCCGCCGTGCGCACGGCGGCAGTGCCCGGAGCGCACTGGGGGGGGAGAGGCGTTACGTCATAGGGGGGGGGAGGGGGGGCCGGGGGCTACAATGCCCATTATGCCCCAAGCAATAAATAAAGAAACACGCCCCTGCACAGTTCCTTCCTCAGTGTCTCCTGCTCCTGCCGATGCGAGCCCCAGCCCCACGTCTTGACTGCTCGTGCTCTGGCCGTTCCCAAAACGGCACCTCCCACCGCCTCGTGCCACCAGGGTTGCAGTGCAGTAGCCCTACGTCGGGCATGTCCCCCTGCATGCAGATGTTCGACGAACAAAAACACATGCACACATTATTCATGAATGGTCACAACTAATTCCAAAAATCCTGTCCAGGCTATTTTTCGTTGTATCTTTGAGCATTCCTCCTGTAGAGGGACAGGCCCGACTCAAAGGTAGCCCTCTGGGCGTCAAAGATCGCGAGACAAGGCGGCTAGGAGCGAAGGCCCGCCTCCTTGGGGAAGTCCCACATCCAGCTGGCCGCATCCTCGCGCTCGGCGCCGGGGAGAGGAGAGAAAGGAGGGGGCGGCAGGCGAGGGGGAAAAGGCGAGACGCGAGCAGGGGCAATGCCAAGGGCGACCGCGGGAGTGGGCAAGCGGGCGCCGACGAGGGGCCGGGCGAGAGAGAAAGAGACAGGCAGGGGACAGCAGAGACGGGAGGCATCAAGAGGGAACGATGGCAAGGAGACAAGGAAAATGGAGGGAACGGGGCAGAGGAGGGTGCGTGGAAAGAACGAGTGGGAGGAGGGACAGGGGGAAGGGTGAAACGGTGAGGGGAAAGGGGCACGATGAAGCGAGGAATCGGGCAGCGGTGGAACAGGGAAGGGGGAAGGGGAGGAGAGGGGAAACGGGCATGCAGAAAGAAGACGACGGTCACGGGAAGAAGAGAGAGAGGGAGAGAGGGAAAATGGGGGAGACGGACGGAGAAGGTCTGACCTCCCATCTACCCCACCCCGACCGCGGTGTCGACCACCGAGTCGGACGCTGACCCCAAGATTGACGAACCAACAACACACACTCATACCCATAGGGGGGTCGGAGAGGGCTATGGGTGCGTGTTGTCGGATGGGGGTCCCCGCTCGAACGGGGGCGCTCCCCAGGGTCCGACGCCCCGCACCCACACCCATAGCCAGTCCTCCTCCCAACACGACCCCCCTATGGGTTTGGGTGGGCGTCGTTCGCTCGTCCAAGATCGCCTTCGCCTTCGCACTGTCTGGCCCCGTCGCCCCTCCCGCGGAGGACGAGGCGAGCCGACGCCACCACGGCCGCGCCGGGGGGCGAGAGGTCGAGCGGCCGCGCCCGGGCGGGGGCCTGGGGCGGAGGCCGCGCCAGCGAGCGCCGAGCACGGCACGGGCAGGCCGACGCCGGAGCCCCGCACCCAGACTTTTTGTTGGTCTGCGGGTCGAGAGCGAGCCCCTTCTGACTATACCTACCAGACCACCCCAACCCGACCCGAAGACCCGACTTTGACCCGAACTTCGGGTTGGGGGGGGGTAATTACGGATACCGTGTGTTTTTTCAACGCTCCCCGACCCCCCCCCCCCACTGGAAATGGAAGGCAAATTGAGGGCTTCGGGTTGGGGTGGGGTGGTTTGGTGGGTGGTGATCTTCCGGTGAAGAGCTGGGCGGGGCGCGCAGAGCACGAACTGGGGAGAGACAGGGCGCGGGCGGG